TGCCCATTCAACCCATATTCCATCTCTCTTCTTGCTGCCTACGACAGACAATTCTCTCTCTCTGAGTTCACCCCCTTTCCAAAATAGATACACCACTACTGCATGCTCAAAGAGTTGATCCCTCTCTGAACATATCCCACCAAGCCACCATAGTTCCAAGTTGAAGCTCAAAACCCTCACCCCCTTTTTTGAGCAACAAAAGAACCAGTCTGCCTCAGAGAGAACGTTTAACATCCAGGGTTTGACGAGAGAAGCCCCAAGAGGACCTCACCCAAAGAGAACCACCCATGAGAGAAAAAACCCAAGCCCTCATAGAAAGAAGGATAACACATTTTATCCTATGTGTTATATTTTTGCAATATACACTCTCTCTTTCCCGACCTTAAGTAGTTGGGATAAAGCTTTCTCTCTTTGATAAAGCTCTCTCTACATGAAAGGAGAGAGTAAGAGAGAATGAATAATATCAAAGAGAGAGAGCTTTATCCCAACTACTTAGGGTCAGGAAAGAGAGAGAGCGTTAATCGGAAAAATATAATACATAGGACAATAAGACTGCCATATATTGAGATCCGAGAGAGAGGAGAGAAAGGGAAGAGTTCTCCCAGTTGATGGCAGTGACCAGAATATAAAAGAACATCAAGTGTTATCTTTTCCCAAACTCATTTTCCTTCCTCTCTCATACACCACCAATTCGGCACCTCTCTTTCCCTAACACACACTCTCTTACATGAACATATGCAACAAGAGAAAATATTTACCTCACTGAATTGGGCCGGAAGTTTCTTTTGGGGATTTTGCAGGGATGACTTGCTGTGGTTTCAGATAAAGAAAATTATATGGAAGTAAGAGAGCTGTTGGTGGTGGCACGGATAGAGAAAAAAGACACTATTAAGAAACATCCAAACAACTTTTGTAAGAGTAGAAAAATAAGTACAAAAAAATTTCTTTTTAATGTTTAACTGAAAAGGGTGTGGTTTGCAAAAGGTTGCAACCTTAGACAATCAAAGTAAGGTGCACTCAAAAATTTTATCATAAGATGTAATTTATGTGTAAAAATTTTTAGAATGGCCTGAGAATCCATTTTCATCTCTAATTATAAAATTTTAGACTCCAAATCTGATGCAAATCAAGTACATTTATGAACACATGAAAATATTGAAAATGAACAGTCAAGATAATATGTTGCTAGATGCACTATTTTAGGGACTTGATCATTTTTTTTTCATATTCATACATCTCGATGTCGATATAATCAATTAGTGGGTTTTCCAACTTCCAAAAAGTCTTTTATGATGGATTTTTTAGGTACACCGTAATTCCACATTTTAAGGTTGCAACCTTATATAAAATTTTTCCATCGGAAACACATGTAAGTTTTTTGAACAATGAGCATTTTTTATTTGACATCCAAACCAGCCCTTAGTATTATTTCAAATTATTTTAAGCATCATTACACACGATAAATGAAAAAGAACAAGAAACACAGTTCAGATGCCAACCCCATACTGAACAAGAAATCATAAATCAAGCCAAGAGTGCATTAGCCCTTCAAAGTTGGAAACATGCCAAGAGGGCAATACCCCTTTATATTGTCACAAGGATTTATTATAAAATGGTCTACATACAAAAATTATCTAGGTCTGAAGCAAAATAAAGAAGCTAAAGTAGCTTGAGGTAGCTTTGCTCATTTACCTTCTTGTTCACTGAATGTAGAATACAGCTGCTTTTCAACCAGGGGCTCATGTTTACTCTCAAGAGAGGCAGGAGGTTCTTTCGTGGTCCTTTTGGCTCTTCGTTTTGGCATGATAGACCTATATTTATTGAATGTAACAAAGTTGCTGCCATGTCGATAAAGAGTCAATTAAACTCCTATGCTTGGATCTCCACTTCTAAATGTAAGAAAAAGGTGTCATTGTTAAATATTTAAATATAGATGAAGCTTTTATATTGTAAAACTTATAACATAAAGAAGTAGAAATGATGAAAGAAACTAATAAGCTATTCATTCAGAAAATCATGAGTGACCTTGTAAGTTGACAAAAACCATGAGTGACCTTGTAAGTTGACATAACAGATCTTTCTCTAAGCATGCATTCTTTAATAAAGCTTCTTTAGACAAGCATTTAGTCCTAACTATTCATTGAATGCCTCAATGCCCATAAAAATATCTCAGCTGATCAGTAACATTTTTTAATCATATCCTGAAACTCTGAGCATGCAAATACAAGGATATTTTTCATTCCGCGCATTCAAAGAAAGAAGTAAAGAAAACATCAGTCAGTACAAAGTAAATCATGTGATACAAGGGGATACCGATCAGAAAACAATAATACTTCAATGAACTTGCAAATAAAAAGGGAATTTTTCTTCTACAAATTTAGCAGTCTTTGAAAACCAACCCAAGTATTAGGACCTGGTAGCGCAAGCATTAAGCATGTGTAGAAGCTAGAAGTACAAAATATTACTTTCACATATTAAGAGGTCTTTTAATAAACTTTTTCTAAAAGGCAGTGTTTGAAAATTTGGCCGCCCAACCGCCTAGGCGAAAAATTTCAAAAAACACCTAGGCGCTATTTGGGCGGTGGAATTATGCGGCCTGTCTCCGAGCGCCCGCCTAGGCGGGCAAGGTGCCTCCTAGGTGCTACTGTTTGGGCACCGGCCTAGGCGCTGCCCAGTGATTTAGCGGAAGGGCGAAAAAAACCCTTGGCGAGGGTCAAAACAATGTCATTTTTCCCCCCCTAAAAAGAGGGGAAAAGGGTTTTGGAGGATATTCTAAACCCCCAAAATAAAAACCGTGGCTGTTACGGTGAGAAAAACTCCCCATAAAACTAATCTTTTGTGATTTATCGAAAGATAGATAAAGATTTGATTTTTGCGATCCGAAACAAAGGCAATAGTTTGTGGTGGATTTAGAGCTTCTAGTAGTTGATTTTGAGGATTTTTGGCGACCCAAGAGACGAAGTTTGCACCATCGATTTGATTTTGATATTTTTTAAGTATTATCATATATGAAAGAGAGTTTTTTATTTTATTTTGCTACAACATATTATGTTGTGAATCATGTATTTTTTCTTTTACAATATATTTACATGTTTGGTGGATGACTTGATGTATTTGTTTTTTTTATTTTGCCTTGTTGACTTTGTATATCGTTTCTAGTTTAGACTTCTAGTTTCCTACAATGATATTTGGGATTTTAAGCATTTTAATGTCTTACAAGTTACAATCTCTTTGAGACTTGTATCTGTAAATTTGTTATGTGATTATACTATTACATTTTTGTCTATTTCACAAGGAGTTTGGGGCTCTAAAATTGCCTTAAAAACTCCCAAAGACTTAAAAACATGCCTGAAGAACTCCCATGTTTTTTTTGTTTGCACAGGGAGGGTTCAATTTTGGTGAGGGCACCCTATCTCTGAGCTGACACTCGAGCACTTAGGCAGCCAGGCACCCAAAACGCCTAGGCACCTGAATAAGCATTTTTGAACATTGATAAAAATAATTTTTTTAACAATAATAATTGTTTGGGCTCTAGAGGGAGGGAGGAAGGGCAGAGGGCGGCGGCGGATTTTTGGCGACCCAAATTTGGCTGATTTCCTAACTTTGTACAGGCTTAGGAGGGACACCACAAGGTAAGGTCCACCTTTGAGGTAGATTCACCTGATTCCATGAAATTGTTCTAGGGATAATCAAATTAGACTTTTCAACATTAGTTTGGAAAATAGTAGTTTGGCCTTTAGAGTCAATTCTCCTAACATTAGGACAGATAGTGGTCATGGCTTTGTAGCAGACCCTATAGGTAACAACAATATTTTGTGACCCAGCATCCATGTCAAAACCATTAGTTAAAAGGTAAAGAGTAAGGACTTTCAAAATATGAGGGTCAGTCAAAGAAACAGAGAAACTTGAGGAGCAGTTAAAATAAATTGGTCCCTCACAAAGACTAGATTCAACAGCTCCTAATAAAGAGTCCATAAATTGTCTATGCCTACTGTCTCTTAAGCACAGGAGGATAGCAATTTGAAGCCCAGTCTTGGTTAAAGGTCTAATACCAACTTGAACAAGGCCAATATGGAGATAATTATATTTTTTTCTTCTAAATTCTTCAATATGATCCTTGTTTAACAAATTTATGGTAGTTTCATAATTTAAGACAGATTTGGTTTCTTCTTCAGTTTTGATTGCATAATCACTTCTGAATTCAAAAGTTCCTTTACTATATATTTTGGAAGTAGAGACCTTAGGGATATTCCAATTGTTTAAATCTTTTTCAATGTTGGCAACAACAATTTCTTCAGAATTTCTTACTGATCTACCAGATGAACTAGCTTCAGCATCAGACCTCCGAGAGAGGAGTCTGAAAAATCCTGTTCATCGAATCAATAATTGTAATTACGCACTCAAGTCAACCAAGTCAATGAAATATTGGCCTGTCTTTGGCACAGTTCACGACTTTGGCGACTTATGGTGGCTTGTTACTATTACAACTGTGATAAACAGTATTTTATCAGGACTTAGAAAGAGTGCTGATACAAAACTGTTTATACAGATAAGATCAGTGGCTCTGATACCAATTTAAAAGTACGCCAAGCGGATTTAATATAGCATTAAATGAGACAAATAAAATAAGGAATTAAGACAAAGACAGTAATATTAATTCAAACTGATACAAATTACAACATAGAAATACAAATTACAATATGGAAACAAAGTACTTACATCAGGTAGAAATCACACCAGTACACTACTAGCAATCCACACTAACACACCAATCTTCCAAACCTTAAACACACTCTAAACCTTTTTACAATCTTAGAGAGAAGGGAAAGATGGTAGATAGAGGAAAGAAGAAAAACTAGGTAAAGTCCTCGAAGTGGTGACCTTCAAGGAGGGGCAGATCCTCTTTTTATAGCCTTGGACTTCAAATTTCTTTTAGTCGAGTTTTCTTCATCTGGGAATGTAGGTCCATTCATATTCTTCCGTGTGGAAAGGTAGTTGTCGGTGGTGTCGGTGATCTTTGCTACATAGAAAGGTAAGGAATAGTAATAGCTATCCTTTTATTTCTGTCGGCAAGATCTGAGCCGTAGGATGAAAAGTTTTTACTTTAGTGTTTTGGTGGGCCACATGTCTTGGAGTTTGGTGGAGTCATACCGGCCCATTAATTGAGTGGTGGCAGAATTCCAGCACTATTTCAAAATTTGATATGAAATCTGGATTCTAGCAAATTCAAATTGCGGAGAGAGATAGATATAAAACTGCATTTACTGTACCATGTGGACACTATGAATGAAATGTAATGCCATTTGGATTAAAGAATGCTCCCTCTGAATTCCAACACATCATGAATGATATATTTACACCATTCACCCAATTTATGATTGTCTATATTGATGATGTGTTAGTTTATTCTGATTCAATAGAACAACATTAGAAACATCTCACAATATTTTTACAGGCAATTAAAAGTGCAGGACTAGTCTTGTTTGAAAAGAAAATCCAATTATTCCAAACAAAAATTCAAGTTTTAGGCCACAATATCCATAACCATTCTATCATTCCTATAGATAGGGCAATAAGTTTTGCACAACATTTTACTAATGAAATCAAGAATAGAACCCAATTACAATGCTACCACTCAATTAATGAACCGGTACGATTCCACCAAACTCCAAGACACGTGGCCCACTAAAATATTAAAGTAAAAACTTTTCATCCTACGGCTCAGATCTTGCCAACAGAAATAAAAGGACAGCTATTACTATTTCTTATCTTTCTATGTGGCAAAGATCACCGACACCACCGACAACTACCTTTCCACATAGAAGAATATGAATGGATCGATATTCCCAGATGAAGAAAACTGGACTAAAAGAAATTTGAAGTCCGAGGCTATAAAAGGAGGATCTCCCCCTCCTTAAGGTCATCACTTTGAAGAGTTTACCTAGTTTTTCTTCTTTCCGCTATCTACCATCTTTCCCTTCTCTCTAAGATTGTAAAAAGGTTTAGAGTGTGTTTAGGGTTTGGAAGATTGGTGTGATAGTGTGGATTGCTAGTAGTGTACTAGTGTGATCTCTACCTGATGTAAGTGCTTTGTTTCCATATTGTAATTTATATTTCCATGTTGTAATTTGTATCGGTTTGAATTAATATTACAGCCTTTGTCTTAATTCCTTATTTTATTTGTCTCATTTAATGCTATATTAAATCCGCTTGACGTACTCTTAAATTGGTATCAGAGCCACTGATCCTATCTGTATAAACAGTTTTTGTATCAGCACTCTTTCCAAGTCCTGATAAAATATTGTTCATCACAGTCATAATAGTAATCAGCCACCATAAGTCGCCAAAGTCGCGAACTGTACTAAAGACAGGCCAATATTTCATTGACTCAGCTGACTCGAGTGCGTAATTACATTATAATTCTCATAGGGGATTTTTTTTCCTCCATTAGCATTTTTAAGCTTGGTTTTAACCTTTTCTCTGAATAGAGCTGGGAGTCTATTTAAGAATTGAGACTTCCAATGTATATCTCTGGCATCGTTTCTGGTAAGTAACTGAGTATGAAAAACATCTTTGTACCATCTATAGTGAGAAAGATTAGGACATTTGAGGTTCTCTAAAAGTTCTCTGGTTCTTTCATTCCAGATAGAGGTATCTCCTATGAAGTGTAGGGCAATAGTATGAATTAGCATATTGACACAGTCATCATCCTGAGAAGGTATTTCTTGTTTGATACCCTGGTTATAGACGGTGGTGAGGGTCTGTTTTTTAGCACTTAGAACAATATTTCTCTCATCATCCCTTAGGTAGAAGTCCCACCATCCTTTTAGTTGCCCTGTAAACCCATTGATTATAGATCTAGCAATGTCGGGATCTCTATTTCCATGGTTAGCGGATGCTTGAGCATACATAATCATATGCTTGATTAGATTCATCTTTTGATATTCTGACAGAGCATCAATATTCCATTCAACTATAGATCTCTCATCATATTGAACAGCATTAGAAAATATATCTTCTTCATATTGGAGATGGACAGGAGAAGGCCTAGGATAATAAACCTTTGAAGTAGCAGTGGGCCTAGTCTTTGTTCCATAGTTTATCCTATTAATTTGATCAGGTTGATCAGGATTCCTAAACATATCCTCAAGGTTAAGGATTTCTTCATTGCTAATATCTTCAAGCATGTTTGCAGCTGGATTTTTATCTTTATTTTTGTTGCTCTTTTCATCACCTATTTTAAGAGTAGCAAGCCTGTTAACTAATTCATCAAAGAATTCATTCTCTTCTTTGAGAGTTGGTCCAAGTTTAAAAGTTTTACTGGAAAGAGGAATAGGAGGTTTAAACAAGACGGGTTTAAGTTTCTCCTTTTCATCAGGAGGCTAGATTTGTGCTGAGGTAGAGGGCCTATTATTTAGGCGTTTTTCTATCCTTGTGGTTTGTTGGCCTATACTCTGTAGAAATAGGTTAGTATAATTATTTTGTTCAATTAGGTGGTTAAGGCTTTCTAAATTTACGGGTCTTTGTAATATTCCCTCTTCTTTAGGGGTATAGGTCTGTTTATACGGAACAGCCCTAGATTTAGGTTAATCCACAGCTGCTTCAGGAAGATGAATACTTTCTTGATCTCCATTTGGAGTCTTGTAAATCTTATATATTCTTGTAAGGACGGAAATGGCTGCAGAATTCCTATTTTTAGGAACATAAAAGTTATTAGGAAATTTTTATTTTTTGAGTCCATATAATATTTTAATCGGGTAAAGAACCTTATATTAATTTTGTTCTTTATCATTGTTCTGATGTATTCCTCATCAAGAAATTTCTTAAGGGGTTTACTATGTTTAAGAAACCACTCTCTTATTTCTCTATTTTCCTCAGAGAGTAAAAATCTTGTCTTAAGTGTTTGTAGTATTTCGAATTTTTCAATTTCAAGCATATTAAAACAGACCCTTCAGGGATATTGGAACTGTATCCCATATCAGAAAAAGTTGGTCATTGGGAGCCATCAGAATCTTTATCATTCTGTGTTGAAGGGTTTTCTACCTTATAGGTAGGTTGAACAATTTGTTGATTCTTAAGCTGATCAAGCCCCTCTATAACCACATCCTTACTATTATTGCTTTTTTCTTTAAGAGTTTATGTCTGTGGTATAGAAGAGAAAGAAATTCTAGGAGGTTCAACCATTCTAGATGATTCAGAACTAAAGGACATTCTTGGAGGCTGCCTAAGGATCCTATTTTGATTAAAGAAAGTTCTAAGGAGGGGAGAGAATAGAATTTTTACCTTTCCTTCAGCGTACTGAGTTATTTGGCTGATTTCCTGACTTTGTACAGGCTTAAGAGGGACACCATAGGGTAAGGTCCACCTTTCAGGTAGATTCACCTGATCCCATGAAATTGTTCTAGGGATAATCAAATTAGACTTTTCAACATTAGTTTAGAAAAGAGTAGTCTGGCCCTTAGAGTCAATTCTCCTAACATTAGGACAGATAGTGGTCATGGCTTTATAACAGACACTATAGGTACCAACAATATTTTGTGACCCAGCATTCATGTCAAAACCATTAGTTAAAAGGTTAAGAGTAACGACTTTCAAAATATGAGGGTCAATCAAAGAAACAGAGAAACCTGGGAAGCAGTTAAAATAAATTGGTCCCTCACAAAGACTAGATTCAACAGCTCCTAATAAGGAGTCCATAAATTGATAAACCAGTTATGGGGTATTCTGCTTATTTTGAAGTAATAGAGTCTTTTCTCGTGCTTCAATATAATCATAATAACTGTAACTCTTGATTTTAGAGTAGCTTTGTTTAAAATATCGAGGTTTAAGGGGATCAAATCCCTAATACTTGTAGGCCAGAATTTTCTTTATTCTGAATTTGGAATAGGCAACAATATCATGTCCCCTGTATTTCCGGATAATTTCTACTTATCATGTTTCCTTTAAGATCGTTTCGTAAAAGAGTTGTGGTTTGAACTCATCTCTTGGTTGCATATGATTGACTAGATAAATTTTTGCGATTTCATCTGGATTGAGATGAAGGTGAATATTATCAATTGGCATAATAGGGAGATATGATTTTTCCAAATATTCTGAATTTTCAGTATAAGTATCAATTAAAGATCGATTATTGAAGTTAGAATGAAAGTACATTCAGCACATAAAAAAATCAGTACTACATGACGCTCAAAAAAATTAAGAAAAACTTGATAACTACTACTCCTCCTTTCAAAAGATTTTCACGTTTAGGATGGAGAGACATGTTTTCCTTTTTCAAAGCAAATCTTCTTATTATGGACCAAACCACGCATCAACAGAAAATTAATTTCAGCAAAAAAAAAACCATAGCCTGCAAAATTGCAAAAAAAAAAAAAAAGCTTAATAACCCATTAACTTGGGGTAAAATTGATTTATCACTTAGGAAACAGAATCAAAATGGTTTTAGAATGAAAAATTTTTATATCCCAACTCATTATCCAGCAAGAAAGAATCATCTGTAAAAAATTAAAATACAGAGCTACATGACAACCAAAAAAAATTATCAAAAAATTAAATGAAGAATCAAATGGTATGAGCATCAAAAACGTAGGGAGAAATGAAAAACTCCCACGCCATACAAAAAAGCCCCTAATATATCAGAAGAAAACCCACTAAGGTACCTTTTTTCAGCTGATAACTCTCAGATCTGAGACGTTAAGGATGCCGAGAACAATGGGTGCATGATTCCTCCAACCCCGCTGCAAAGTCAAATGTTGCGAGTCTTGTCGTCGTCGTCGTATACCGTCCACACCACACTCACGAATGTCGTCCAAGCCCGCACCTGTTACTATGCGGGCTTGGAGATATACACCATCCACCAAATAAAGAGTAGATCTACACCATAAATAATAGTCCTCCAAAAAAAAAAAAAGTAAAATCACTAGTTCAAATATATATTTTTTAAAAAATTAAAATTTATTTATTTTTACAGATTATATATTTCCTAAAAATTAGAATTAAATTCTATTTCAAAAATAAATTATTAAGAGGCCCGTATTTCTACAAGTGAGTCCCGGGACTCATAAAAACCTTGTCAATAACCTTCAAATAGTCTCGAACTATACTGTTTCAGTATAAGGAATCTTTGTTATGGCTTTAAAATTTATTTTCATCTTGAATATAAAATTTAAAGATTAAAATTAATGTAGAATGAGTAGATCTATGATATTTGAAAATTTTGAAAATTGACGTTCTAGATAATAGATTACGAGATGCACTATTTTTAAAATTTGAAATCTAATTTTACTCATGTCCATACATCTAGAGGTAGAGATGATCGAATTTAGGGTTTTTTGAAATGCGCATTAATTTGATTGCTGAGGGCCTTGCCCTTATATAAACTTTTTCTATAAAAAAAATCAAAGTATATTATGCTCTTACTCAAGCATATTATTTGGTTATTCCCTAAAAAATAGACATGAATCACTAGATAATTATTTTTAAAAAAAAACATTACTCTAACACACTTGAAAAATTGGACCGTTCAATGTTGGAATATTTTTCGAGTGCATAAAGGGTATTATTTGGAAGATTTTATCATGAAATTGTTTACAAAGAGATAATTCATCTTTTGTACATGGATGTCATAATCATTCTTGTCCCTTAAATTTCAAAATGGGTGGTTGTAAGAGTATCATTGATTAGACATAAAGTTTCGAAAATAGATGTCAGACTTCGTGATTCACCCCAAACCATCCAATTTGATATTTAACGAGTGTAAATAATTGTGACATTCATGTAAAAAAGATAAATGATCTCTTTGTAGACAATCCCTTTATCTACCCAAATCTTGGGATCTTAAAAAAATTATTGATTGGGTTTTGCGAGAGGAAGTAAATAGACATTTTGCTCATGAGGGAGCTTGAAATCGTACGAAAGAATTAAAATATGAGCCTTAGAGATGAATTATTTTGTAATAAGTAGAGATTGCTTATCTTAATTCGGCAAATATTATATCTCTGTATTATTTTTGAAACTCCAACTTCATCGATCATAAAACAAGTTTAGAGTGACTTGAGATGTATTTTGGGTCAAGTTTAGAGTGACTTGAGATGTATTTTGGGTCAGAGTCCCCCAAAAATTAAAACAATCACCCCTATTTCTTGTAGCATATTATTTATTTAGGAAACCTTTAAATTGTGGTGCTACTTCATGAATAGATGGCTAGATATCTTTAATTAATGGCACTAGTTATCATTTGGGTCATGAGTCCCTCACAGTGAATACCACATTTTTATTTTTATTTTTTATTTTACAAGGAAGTACATGATTAAAATTTTAATATTGTAAAGGGTGTGGTTATATAAGGTTGCAACCTTAAACAATCCAATTAAGGTGCACCTCCAAATTTTATCATAACATATAATTTTGGTGTAAAAAATTATTAGGATTATCTAACAATCTATTTTTATATCTAATTATAAAATTTTAAACTCAAAAAATGGTTAAAATCAATTAGATCTATAAATATATGAAAATCTTGAAAGTAGACGGTCTAGATAATGTGTTGCAAGACATACTATTTCTAGGACTCAAAAAAATTATTATTATTTTTTTTATATTCATATATCTCGATGTCAAGATGATCAATTAGAGGGTTTCTCAACATTAAAATAACATTTTTCGATGGATTTTTTAGGTGCACCTATAATTCTACATTTTAAGGTTGTAACCTTATATAAACTTTTTCCTATTGTAAATTGCCCATTGTTTTTAGGGAAAATTGTCAGATTACCCATAGATTGACTATTTAACACCTTAACGTATCTTTTGATATTATCAAATTATCCATAGCATATTAACCATTTAACACTTCAACATAACTTTTGGTTTATTTCAAAATATCCATAAAAAACACAAGATCTTAGAATAGTTCTAAATGATAAATTGTTAAATAGTTCATCTCTCATGGTTATATTAATAAATTTTCCTTTTTTATGATAAATATTTTTATTTTATTTTATTACATTTGGCCCTATAAGAAGTGGGCACACCAGTCCAATTTCCATGTCAATGTGGTTTATTAAAAGGGATTGTCTACAAAGAGTCCATTTTTTTTTTGTGGATGGTGGTCAGAACTATTCTGTCTCATTAGATATCAAATTGGATGGCTTGGGGCAAGTACCGAAGATAATTTTTATTTTGGAACTCTGTGTGACACTCTTACAACCACCTATTTTGAACTTTAAGGTATAACAATGATTGTGCCCTCCATGTACAAACGATAAATAGTCTTTTTGTAGGCAATCATTTACTGGAAAAAAAACTTTAAGCAGTTATCCAACCGTTCATTTAAATCAGATGGTCTTAGGGGTGGCAACGAGTCGTGTCCGACTGGACCTGGGCCAGACTTGAATAGTATTCGGGTCTAGGTTTTGGACCCAAACTTGACCCCTCGGGTCCAAAACTTGGACCCAAACCCATACTTGTCGCGTCCCGGGTCTAGTCGGGTCCATTGCCACCCTCATTATGAGTTTCTTTATTTTTAATACTATATACTATATTATTAGCAACAATGTCGCAATCACCCGCCATTAGATTTCAAGTCGTCTGATTTGTTGTTTAATAGGTAAATATGACTATTTATAAGTTCTTACTCTATACAACCTTTAATACACCCAAACGATCAGGACTTAAAGTATTTTATGTCCAACAGTTTAAGGGTATAGATCGAGTCCAACAGTACCCGAAATGGTGTGAAATAGCATCTCCTATGTTTTATATGTGATGGCGCCACATAAAAAGGTTTCCCTTATCTATCTTAGCGTGGTAAATGTAAGTGAAAAAGGGAGATGTCTATGAACATGTGGCACACAAGAGAGCAAGTTATGTAGAAAGAGGTATTTTAAAGTCGGGTGAGGTCTGCATCTTATGCTAGACAAGTGGCGCATACCTCAAAATTCACTCGGAAGATATTTTGGTGTTGAAAACCTTACCATGACTTCAAAATCTATATTCAACCTTAATTATAAAATTAAAAATTAAAAAGATAATACAGACTGAACAGATCTATAAACACTTAAAACTTTTGAAAATAGATGCTTAGATAACTTGTTACAAAATATACTATTTTTAAGGTTTAAATTTCTTTCTTATCTTTATATCTATGCATCTTGAGGTTGAGATGATCAAATAAAATGTTTTCCAACTTTAAAACACTCTTTTCTACCTAACTTTTACCGAGTATAAGGTTGCAATGTTATAAAAACTTCCTTTTACAATAAGGTGCAATAGAAGGATGCTCTATAGTGATATAGGTGACAATGGGCTGGGCTTCCTAGCCAGGCCTGATCTTGCTCAAACAACCAATATTCCTCCCATGAAATTTAGAGTAAATCTAGGCTTAGTGGCAGGCTGGGTTAGGCCTAGGTTCAACACCCGGTTTGACCCAACTAGTTTTTATTTATTTTTTCTATCTATAAATATATAAAACAAAAATTTAGGGAAAATTGTGTAAACCCTTATGGACTATAATTTTTTTTTTTAAAACCATATCATTAACTCTAATACTATTTGTTTCTGCATCCACTTCAAAAAGTAAGAAATTAATTTTTTAGTACTAAAATACCTTGTGTCAATTTTAAATTTTGAGATATTATCTCTCTAAAAATTGAAAAATTGATATAGTTTCTCTATGGAAAATTTGAGGTAGTTTCTTTATCTAAAACTTAAAATTTGATGTAGTATCCTTCTTTAAAAAGCTTGAGATAGTTTCTATTTTTAATAGTTTGTTTCTCTCTAAAATTCTAAAAATTTGGGATGGTTTATTTCTCAAAAATATTTAAACTAGTTTCTCTGTCTAAAAATTTTGATAAGGTTTCTCTCTAAAATTGTAATTGAATATAGTTTTTGTAATTGAATATAGTTTTTCTTTCTAAAATTTTTGAGACAGTCTACTTATCTAAAAAATTATCTCAATTTTTCTCTCAAACATTTCTGAGATAATCTGTTTATCTAAAAAATTTGAGATAACTTATTTTGTCTAAAGCTTGAAATTCGATTTAATTCCTACAAAACTGTGAACATGTAACAATATCACATTCAAGATAAGGCTACTAGGCAGAGGACCAAACAAGCAAGCAGAAGAAAGCGGTTGCAAACGATGCCGTAGTTATCATGGATCACATGATGGCACTTCATGCAGGTGGCTTTGCGCCGCCACGGTGGGTGGTGGGATTCCGCCACCGCCACTGCTTTCACATTATGCATTCGGACGGCAGGAAGAGAAGGATAGCAGTGAGAGCGGCGGAGGAGGAGGAAGCACCACCACCGCCACCGCCACCGCCACCGCCACAGCTACCATCACCACTTACAACAACAGTAAAGAGGACTGAAGGCGGCAGCGGTGGCGGTTTTGGTGGTGGATCATCACCGTTGTCGAAGACGAAGAATAGTAGGAATAAGGGTTCGGGGCGTGGTAAGAAGGAGAGGGAAGAGCCTGTGGTTCGTAGAAGAGATCCCCTCCCCTCCTCATTTTCTTCTCCATTGTCCCCTGAACAGCAGCAACAACAACCTCCGAAGATGGAAGAGGCTGCCTTTCTCCTGGCGTGGCTCGGCCTCGGCGCTCTCATCTTCCTCGAAGGCATCGGTCTCGCAGCATCAGGTACCATAACTCTTCCCCTTCTCTCTTTTGCCCCATTTTGTATCTGGTAATTCTCATTCTGCTGCCCTTTCTTTCTCCTTTGTCTTCACATTGTGAATTTCAATTCCTTAATTTTTTTTGCCCTTTGAACCAAAATATCTCTTAGATAGAGTGGAGCAGCCAGTGAGAGTGTCTTTTAATTTCAGAACGATTGCTTTTGAACTTTTACATTCAGGTTCAAGAAATGGAATATCTGCAATATTTTCAGATATTATCTTAAACCAAATGGCATTCTTTATAGCTGAACCTCAACGAATTTCAAAGTTGCAACAAGCTCCTTTCCCTTGATCAGGGGGTTTGAACTCTTTCGTCTCTTTTTAAGTCGATCTATGATCTTAATTTATTTGTGTCAAGAGAGATGCACTATAAGTAGCATAAATTGTACCCCTTTCATCAATAAAAATAAAGAAAAACATTTTACCGATTTCAAGTTTTTTCCGGTAGATTATCAATATACAGATTACAGAGAAAAATTGAGGATGAATTTTGATTGGCAAGGCGAACATAGTTGCCATTGTATCATACATTGTTATTGTCTTTTCTCACTCACAGTTTCATAGCATATATTTTATTTTTGAATTGTTTGCTTCAGATTTTATTTGCATCTTAGCCATATTTCCTAAATTCCTAAGTTAATGAATATTTTTTTACTCTGAATTTCTGAGATTGACACTTGCTAGTTGGAATCCTTGAAGAGTGCTCCACATCATGGAAAAGGTAATTTACAACGTTAATGATTCTGAGTAATCCTCTGCATGGATGGTTTAGATTTCCTGTTTCAACAGTCCTGATATTTCTTGAAACCTCCTGATATCTTCTGGACTTGGAAGTTCGTTTATGGTGACTTATGTGGACCTCCAGTGGTTATTTGTTGTCCCGGACCCCGACAAACTTAGAGATTCTAGGTTCTTCTAAAACATTCTGGAAGAATTTAGTATTGTGATTATCACATGCGAGCTTCTATATTCCAAGGTAGGTTCATTTTCTTCAAGGGGAATGGAGGGGGCAGATGGGAGGAAGTGCCTTATGGTGCGACAATTAGGACTAGTTGATTCCATGATGCTGATTTGTTACATCAAGTTTGGAGGTTTTGTATTATGAGTTATTCTCACTTTTCGCTAGGTATTTGCTGCTAGTATTATTGCCTCCATTTAAGCAGTCTTTCATCATATGTGCTTTCGGACTTTACATTATGGATGATAATAGATTACTTCTTACCCTATGAGAACTTTCTTGCCTGACCCCTCTCCTCGAAAAAAGAAAAAAAATAGGAGGCACCTTTTTCTTGCTTCCCTTTTCATGCTTCTTTGGATTAAAGAGTTATAACGGACGTGGTTGACAACACCAATGGCCGTGCCTGAAGTGTCATGGATGTGTTGTATTAGCGTTTGGAATCTATTAGAATGTTCAGCATATCGACTTTTGGAAGGATAAGTCAAGCGCCTCCAAGTATGGTATGTCAAGTTTATGAGTGATGTACTCAAGATGGCAAATCATCTAGTGTAAGGACTGGCCCTTGTAGGATAAAGAAATTCAAGAATTATTAGAAAACATCTGGCGGTCACTCAGTTCCATTTTTCTTCTTGTTTATCTCATTTCCATTTAGCATTTTTTCTAGATTATCTAGCAAGACAGTTTTTCATGTTTTTTCATAAGCAAAATTTTGAGATGATTTATTGAGACTATTTATTTGAACTCAGGCATTCCATTTGCAGATACGTCATCTTTTGTGAAGTATGTGTAGTAAAAGCTAAAATGAGCTATCAAAGCATTCTACAAAAACGTGAGTTCTTCATTTGCAGGTTTCTTACCCGAAGAATTGGATGCGTTTTTCGTGAAGTATGTGTATCCTTCATTCACGCCGACTGTTGTCGTATTTGTGGGTGGGACAGTTGCTTATGGGGTGTTGAAGTACCTGGGAAGTGGGCCTCGCGAAAGTTAATTTCTCAGAGTGCTATTCCATCCACAAGGAGGAAAAGAAATGGATCGACTGAATTCTGTATGGCACATGTCAGCCCCGTACTGGTGTTTATAACTAAGGAAAGTGAAAGGGAACTATGTGATCTTTGCCACCCATTCTTCCCTCTGTAAGGACCTCATGGGTTGGCAGGCAGGCCTGAAATTTTGCATCTCTGCAAGGATATCGGGCATTCTAAAAGCTAATTAGTTGTTAAAGCTTCACACTTGGGGCTCAGTGCTTGCCCCATTCCCTGTAGTTTCAAGGACCTGACATTGGAATTAACTGACATAGTTCTTTTCATCCTTACTGATAATGTGGAACTACAGAGTTTGTTTCCCTAGGCATTGTATAGCATCCGTAAGTGGGGGCGCTCATGTTGCTTGCACACATTAATGTCATTAGGATGCCTCCCATGCACCAACCATCCGACCAACCTTCCCACAATGTATAAGGTAGCGGTAGACACTGATGAGTCTTATGCTGCACCTGGGCCCCCCAGCCTTTGGGGGGAGGGGGATGGTGTGTCACTCGCACACCCAAGAATTTTGATTAAAAATGGTCTATGATAGATGCTCTTTCAGTTGTCTCTTACCCTTGATCATTTTCAAATAACAGAACTGCAGAAAAAATAAGTTTTTCTTCGTAGATATAGCAAAGTAGATAAGAAAAAGATAAATGGCACTTCAAAATATTTGACTAAGTATTTGTTTTTTGTTTTTCCCTTTTAATTTCCTTTAATTATAATAACTACCAAAAGGGAATGACTTAAATTGCGTGGATTCTTTAGTTGTAAATTTTTTTTTTTTAGCTATTATTCATTGGGTGGGAAGTATTTCTTCTCGTTTCCAAGGAATTGATCATTTAAGCAAGCTGCGATTCAAACACTGACACCATATATCCTCCAGTCATAACATCAACAAACTCAGAACCAAGGTAAATTTCTGAATGATATAGAAACTAAAGACATTTCATAACACCAACCCTCACAAAAGAACTTTGCGAATATTTGTGAATGATTTGGAAATAAAGATCGGATAATTTTGTTGAATCTTGGATGTGAGTATTACTAGTAATGTTGTCTGCCACTGGATAATTATTGGTGATATTTACCACTAGTGAATTATAGAAATGTGCGCTGACAATTTTTGAAGGAATGTACATGTTACCATTATCATCTGTAAGTACAGGGAGCTACACAGATGGAAGTGCCCATGCATGTGAGGGTGGCAATGGGCTGGGGCTGCCTGGCCCCGAATGTATTAAAGGACCTAGTCCAGGCCCAGCCAGACTATATCAAGGGGCCCGGCTAGTAGATATTATTTATTTGTCTAAATTCATAAAAAACAAAAGAAAGGCATAGATGGGCTAGGCCTGTCCAAAACCCCTAGCCTAGGACCAGCCTTCACATGCGGCCTAGGTTTACAGGCCGAGACCCTACCTTGGGCCAAAATCAGTAGCTCAGGCCCTAGTTGTTCCGGGCTGAGGAGGCCTGTACATACACACTGGTTCTAAGCAGAGGAGGAAAGCACAAGTGGGGCAGTCTTCAACTTCTATAAGCAGAGGGAGAACTTGCAGCAAAAGTGGGAAGGTCCTTGTCAAAGTTGTGGGCTACCCAATATGGGATTGGCTTGGAAGAAATTGAGGGGCTTCAGACTAAAACTTCTGCTGGCAGTAAGCATGATGGGAAACCTAGCATTGTACCATAGAACAATCTCCGTATTCTCGATCTCCGGGTTCCTGTCGAAGACCATTCACTCATACACTTTTGAAAAGCCAAACAGTATAAGAGCAAGTGGGGAAAAGGCTGGCATGGTAACTTTCTGACCAGACTGAGATGGTGTTGTCCCCGTAGTTTTGACAGATAAGTAGTCCCCTGGCGCATTCCTCGCTCCGGTTGAATGGTTTCACCCAGTGTTTTAAAAAACGTCGAGTCGAATCGGACTCGTCCGGTTCGACTCGAAAATCATGAAAAGGGGACCGGATCGCCTAAAAAATCGGAAATCGTCCGGTTCTAGAGAGAACCGGACGATTCTGCACAGTGACTCGCCGAGTCACTGTGCGGAATCGGCGAGTCCGTGAAGAACACGGGTTGCATAGTGTTCTTCACGGGATTCTTTGAAATTTGTCATTTTTGATCATTTTTTTTGTTTTTTTTGGCATGTGATCTAATTTGCAGGCTGTAAACAGCTTTATTCAGCTTTTTCAAGGATTAAACGGCTGAAAAATTTGGTGTCTTTGGATCACGAAAATTTTGGTGTTTAGGGTTTCCGCCTTTTCTGAAAGTTTCATGTCAAATAGAGCATGAATCTTTCAAAATTTGTAGGCATTTTGATCGTAAAGCTGTGAATCAAAACATTTTGTTACTAATTTGTGATAATCGTCGAGAAAAACAGAGTTTTTTGGAGATTGAAGGCTTCGGTTCACAAAATCAGGTAAGAAGTTTGGGTTTTTTTTTTTTCCGCCATTTGATTTATTTCACGGCATATTTTGAACATAATGAGTTCAATAATTAGGGTTTTTAATCTTTATTGTGTCTAGTATGATTTAAAATTTTCAATTTTACGTAATCTGGTCAATTACAGCATGAAATTTGAGATGAACACTGAGATGTCTGCGGAACCAAAATTCCGCTGTTTTTTTTTTTTTTCCGCCTTTTGATTTTGTTTTCATGATATATTAGAATAATGTGTTAAAAATTTAGGGTTTTGATTCCTTATATTGTTGTTTATCAGAAAATATACTCAATTCGATGTAATTTATTCACTTAGAGGTGGATTTTT